AAGAAGATTATTAAGACAAATAGTAAAAGAATAACTATTAATTTTTTTATTATATAAATCTTATATTATTATTCTATTAAATAAAAAAAAGTTTAGTAAAAAAATAATTATTAATCATCAAGAAAAATCTTGTGAAATAATTCTAAAATTTTTTGCTTATTATTATATATTGTTTATTATTGATAAATAATATATTATAATAATGATTAATATATTATTATATATTGATATTAATAATAATTAGTGATTATTGATATAAATATTTATCAAAGATCATCAGAATTGTTGATTAATATTAATATTTCAGAGAGATATTTATTAATTTTTACAGATATGATAATGATTCTTAATAAATATCTTACCAAAAAATTTTCTGATGATATTTATAAGTATTATATTATTACAAGATAAACATAAAAATAAATAAAGAGAAATTATGATCATAAAAATATAATAAAGAAAATATCTATAACTAAAATAACAAAACTATAAATTATAGATTCAGTATGCTTACTAAACTCTCTTTTTAACTAATAGGTAAACAAAGAGTATATATTAAAATAATTAAAAGTTTTATATATAGAAAAGCTTACAAGAATCTTATAAATCAAACTAAATATTACTTAGTTTATTTAAAATAGAGAATATCTATTATTTATATTTTTAAACAAGAAAAATATGTAATAATCAGATATAATCTATTATAATAAAAGAAATAATTAAAAGTAAAATTATTAAGATAAAAGAAATAAAGATAATTATAAGATAAGTATAATTTAAATATTATTAAATACAAAGAAATTATTACTATTCAAGTATATTTATTTTATGTTTAAGAATAGAAATATTTATATATATTTGAAGTTATACAGATTTTATTTGAGCTCTGCTTACAACTTATTAATAATTACAATATATATTTACAAGTATAAAACAAGAATCAAGCAATGAACTATAAATTAATAAATAAAATTTAAAGAATAAGATATATATATAAATTAAAAGATAATATAAATAATAAAATTAAAATCAAATGATAAATGATAAGTTAGATATTCTATAAAAAAATAATTAATAATAAACAAAGAAAAATAAAAGAAATTTATTTCAGATTCATATCTGAACTATTTCTGAAGCATATCTGAATCATTTCTGAATAATAGTTAACTTTGAGCAAATTATACATTTATAATTCTGAAGTGTTGCTAAAGCAAAGTTGAATTGTAGCAGAAGTGTGATCAGAATTAATTAATACACCAATTAAAATTATTTTAAATCACTTATTTTCTAAAAAGTAGCTGATTGTTCAAAAATCTTAATTTCCAAAAATTATGAAATTAAAGAAATTTATGTTACTATGGTAACAATAATAATAAATATGTTTTTAACTTAGACTAATTTTAATAATTTCCAAAAATAATTTATAATTATAAGTTCAATTATATATTTAATATTACAGATACACTTTCTAATAATCAATTAGATTATGTACAAATATTTATATGAAGAGAAATTAGTCAAGACACTAAATTATAAAGAAATAACATAGGAAGGGTGGATCTATATTTATTATTACTATAATACTGCAAGACTGGATAAAGAAATAAGCAAATAAACATAAAAATATTCAATTATTGATAAATCTACTTTTTTACAAAATTTATTAATATAACATCACTATCACTTTTCTACTACTAAATCAATCCCGCACACGTTTCCTTAGCATATACCAAAGAACAACGCACAAAAGTGCAACGAAAATACACGCAAAAACGCCAATAAGCATAGTTTTATCAGTACTAAGTACAGGCATCGACGACGATGTATAATTGCTATCTGTATTGACTCTGTTAATATCATATCCATTTACCAGTGGGAGATGCAATCGTCGTGCATAATATTTTGAACAATGTTCAGTTGGGTGCACCATTGGTTGTTTATGTTAAATATTAGGAATGGGCTGTAGTCTGAAAGTTTGTAGTATGAGATTCCGCCATAGATCTTTTTGGGGGTTAATTATTAATTATTTCATTTGCTAATTTTATAACCTTTAATTCAAATATTTAGTAAAACCGCAAGATTCACTTACTATCAATGTATCCGAATTAAAAATTGAGTATATGCAGCACCATGTCTTCTACTATACAAAATGGTAAACTTTGGGATGGTTGAATTGTTGTCAGATTATAGTTGCTTAAATCCAATACATCTATATATGATAAATTATTTAATATCTCCATTGCTCCATCGGCAATTTTTGTGAGCAATGTTTTTGGAAGCTTAAGTAATCAATAGTTCTTATTGTATACTAAAATATTGTCTGTTGGTTGATTATTCTGCTTTTCATAATCCAAATGAGCCGCCAAATATCCACGCATTATCTTCGAACTTGCTATTTTCCTGCACTATTTGAGATTAGGAATGTACTCTAGAATAAAAAATCAAATTATTTTTAAAACTAATTCGTTTCCGTACACATTTGAATTTCCCAAAACAGCTTACACCCATGGCATAGTCATATAACAAATGTAGATCCTTCAACAATACTCCGTCATAGATCGATCAATGTTACTTTTGATGAAATAAGTGTTGCTCGTAGACGATATAATGAATGATGGAACTACGCTGGAAAATTCACAGTTGCTATTTGCGGGTCATTCCAAACCCCTGTATTAATATATTATATGTCTGAAGTCCGGGATTATTTGCACTTTTTGCCCACCAATCACCAACAAATAGCCAAGAGACGGAACTGAAAGACAAGCAGCGCGTCATTTACATTGATAACATTAGTAAAATCAACAGCTTGCCAGGATACATTTGAAGTATCAAAATGTATTGAGGTTGAATAGAAAAAATTGGTGGTTATTATCAAATTCTGTACCGCCAAAAAGATAAAGTGTGGTCTTACATGTCGCGAGGCAATGTGAATGTCTTTGCCCTGGCAAAATTGATTCTACCCATTTGTTAAGAAGAAGAGCCAAAAACATAATAGTATTAGTGAAAAACTTCTATTAATATACAAATGCATTTAAAAAAATAGTAAACATAAATGACAAACTTTTCTTCACAAAAATTTTCTTATAATTTCGAATTCATAATCCCTCGCATGTTTCTTTTTTTATTATATACATGTATATGCATTCACAAAAACCTTAACGTTAACAAATGTAAGAAAAGAGACCATTTTTAGTCTTTTTATAATTACGTACATGTAATTAGCGAATCATAGAACCGTATAAAGATATGTGTACATTTGAATCGTTACAGATACATGTTACGGTATTTGCATGTACATGTATAAGACAAAGGTTAAAAGACTTCTAATTTAAGCTTCAATGTTTCGAGTTAATTTATTAGTTTTATACGACAAAGGCTAAGAGACTTCTAATTTTAAGTTCACTTCTATTGTCTTGCTAATGTATCGGTATTACAAATCTAAGAAAATTAAAATTTGAAATCCCTTATAATGCAAATCTAATTTTTTTACACTAAAATTACAAAATTATTATACAAAATCTACAACTTCATTATCTACTCGATCAACATGCCCATTTTTTTCCCGGGAATTCTTAGGCTGCTTTCTAACCTCTGTATTTGTTGACGACAATGATGACGCCAATGAAGAATCTTGCAGAGACAACGATGCAATAGTAGTTTCCAATTGGATAGCATGTTGTTTTTTTAATCTCTTTATCTGCCAAACTCCAACAATTACAATTCCTACGGCGCATACAATGGCAACTGATGAGCTCACAACCCCAATTAATGTTTCAGAGATACGCGGTGATGTCCCATTAGCTGGACTTACTCCATTGCCGCTACTATTAACTGATGAGTCAAGATTATACCAGTTTACAATGTTTACTTGGTTTGTCCAGGTGCTAGTTGTCATATTATAAGCTAGCATTGAATCAAGCGGACGTGGATTTGGCCCACCTGGAATTCCTCCTCCATATATCTAATTACAATGATTAACAACATCAATATTTTTTCTTTAATTAATCATAACAAAACGTAAAACTTACCAAGATTGTGTCTGAGCCGGGAAACTGAACAGTAGCAGCACGATCTCTCATATACGGCTGATTGGATAAAACAGGGATTCCAATTTTCCTAGTTTTCAAATCGACCTGCACCATAATTAATGATTGATTTGCCATTTGACTACCATCATTCATTACGAGAACCGTCAGTGTACTATTTAGAATGCCAACCGCACCATCCGAAATATTGAAGGGAAATTGATAAGGTGCTGTTGAAAGTAGTCCAACTTTAGAACTATAATTGTATGCGTAATTCGTGGGTGGCCAATTTGTTTCATCAACGTATTCCATCCCGCCAAATATAAATGCATTTCCATCGGAAATTGCGAGTCCGGCACCATTTGTTGGTTTCATTGGAATCTATAGAAATGATAGTTATCAATTTAGAAAATAAAGGTTTATCAACACAAAAGGTGTTTTATTATTAGGGAACTTACACTATCATGAAAAATGAGAGTCCAGTTCCATGGAATTTTCGATAAATCAATTTGATAAATCCCTGTAGAAGGAAAACTATCAAGATTAAATGTTCCAGCCCAGACAAACACAGTTTTTGGAGCGATCAGTGCAGCTCGCGGACGGTAAAGATAATATGAGAATTCGTAAGGAATATTTTGCAAATATTTCGGGTCGTTCCATGTACTTCTTTTGAAATCGTATACTTGTAATCCTGGGTTCCCAGTAGTTGTACTATGAGCAGAACTTCCACCTCCAATTATTAATAATAAACCTAATGTTGGCTCCACTACGCATGCTGTGTCATTTACATTTTCAGCGTTAATGGTAGTTTCTTTTCGCCAGAGTATTGAATTTGTGTTGTTGAATGGTAAATCGGCGGAGAAAAAGAAGTCCTTGGTTGTTGTTGATATTCCGCCAAATAGATAAAGTGTGTTTTGGTATGTAGCAAGACAATGCGAATACCTTGGGCCGGGGGATTGACTCGATGTTAGTGTTAAAAGAGAAAAAGTAAATAGGAAGAAAATGGTCGAGTTCATTTTCCCTTCCATTTTAGAATATGGAATAGAAAAGAAAAGGATGTTGGTGATGAAAAGAGATAAGGAATTATTAAGGAAGGGATAATATTCAGAATAAGAGAATTTCAACGCTAAAGAAAAGTAAATAAATTAATTTAATAATTATTTCCATTTAAGCATGCAAACAAAAGATTTAAAGAAATCTCACCGCTAAAAACGATGTTGAGCCAGTCTCTTATTCTGTATAATATGAGTGAATTGGAAACACCGTTATTATTTCAAGTTCGAGGAAAAAAATTGATAAAAGGCGACTCCGCTTTTTCTTCTCTCTAAAAAGCTGCATTGTGTTGTCGTATCATTCTATTTCTAGGTATAGTGATAATCATTAAACGCGCGGTGAACAAAGACGCTTATGTTGTACATATACATTCTCGTGTACAAGTTCTTTTTTAACAAGAATAAAGACACAATAAATTTCTTTGATTTTTTCGTACAAATCAAAATACAGCTCGTTTTTTAACTAGAAGTAATCCATACGTAGTATAATAGGTGTTATGCACCACCACCATATCAATAACAAAACGTGATTATATACCAGTATCTTCTCCTTGGAATGAATATTCACAAATGAAGTATTCACCATTTTCTAATGGATATTGCATTTTCGTAATTTTACACGTTTGATTTTTTGCAAAATTTCAATAACATAAATAGAGACTTTTAATTAACGAGCGAACTGTTTATAATACGTATGCAAACTATATTTAAATGTCATTAATTTATTAGTGGTCAAGATATCACATTTATTTGTGTTAAAATACTTAGTGAATTAAGTTTATTACAGAATTCAAACTCATTATATCGAGATTTTTATAGTTGTGTAATTACGTTCTTACTTATTACCACCCTTATTGGCGCCGCCACCGCCACCCATACCACCGACGTTAGCATTCCTGGCCGCAGCTGATTGTGCTCTCGCTGCGAAACTTCCTTTCGAGACATTACCGCCACTAGATTTTGCGGTGGCTGATTGAATTCTGGACGCAGCACTTGATGTCATGGGAGTCTTAGAACCTCCGCCACTACCACCTTTTTTAGACATCTAAAAAAACAAAATAATTTGTTAATAGTTTGTGTGGGATAAAAGAATTGTTGCATAACTTAAAATAGAAAAACCTTTTAAGTTGAAGAATTTTGAAATATAAATTTATAGCAAAAAAAATTTCGTCTGATGATATTTGAATTTATAATTAAAATCTGAGAATCAGATATTTTAGTATGATAAGTTTCCAGCTCTATTTATATGAAAATTTAATTACAACAACATGCCTTCGACAAAAGTTCACATAACGTAATATTTTTAAAAATGTTCACATAATTATATAACAATAAGGGCGATACGAAAAAAAAGTGACGTGGGAAACTAGCGTTGTAATCTAATCAAACTATTTTCACACAATGATTAAATACATGTAATACACTTTCATAGGCTTTTGCTGACAATAGAAGTATTACGATAGCAGCTTTTTATCTTTTTACATTCTTTCTTTGTTATTCTGCGCGAATATGGTAATTATAAAGACAGCGGCTGATTTTGATTCCTTTATATGGACAATAGAAGGTATTACAATAAAACACGCTTTTTACCTTTTTACATTTATTTCTGCGCAAATTATAACGACCGCGGCATTGGCTACTATTATTTTGATAGCAACCGATAATCAAAAAATACATGTACTATCAATTCAATGCTAATGGACCACTTATCTATTTTGAGTTTCTTTATGTTTTGTGTAGCTGACATAAATGGTATGTAATATTTATAAATTTTCACTTTTAATCAACATTTGGCATTACACAGATAATTCTCGTGATCCAGATCCCCGAGCTTCAATGTAAACCATTTTACTATCATTACACATGTATAATGATTGTGGAAAAAATACTACCAAAAACTCGTTTTGTTTTATCAGCATGCAATTGGAACATTTGCATAAGAAAAAGATATGTCATATGCCTCAATTTTTTATTGATTAATGGAAAAAATCTGCGTATTCTTATTACCGACCGTAAAGTCCTGAAATAAACAATCCCCTAAAATAAACAACCTTTCTTGAGGTCCAGCCTTAAAGAAGTTGAATAAACAACCACTTTTTAAAAATCAATTTTTTCTGTATATTAATAGAATTCTGAATTCGACACTCTTGTTATGTTAGTAGAACCAACCTTGAAATTTCTTTTAAATCTTTCGTCACGTTCGTAACAAATGCCTTGATAAATTTGGCATTTAGAACAATAAGAATTAAATATTTGAAAAAGGGCCCGAAAATAAACAACTCCATTTAAAATTTGATAACGTAGGGGTTGCTTATTTTTGGGATTTTACGGTAACTACCGTAGAAATCCGAAAATAAACTACCCCGAAGATAAGCTATCCTCTTCATGTTTCAGCCCAAAACCGCAAAAAGTATATGTAAACTTGATCATAAAAACAAGCTACACCCTCTCTTTGACCCCTGGAAAGCGTGCAAAACCGAGTAGTTTATTTTCGGATTTTTATGGTACTAAATGCTATTCTCAGCGACTAATTAATTGTACTTTATACTCAATCATGTTACGTAGAACACTTTTTTCCAATTTAAGGAGGCCTGTTTTCAATAGTTTTCGGTATCTTTCGCACTTTACGGAAGCTCAACGCATAGAGAAGGAAGCTTTATTACAGAGGTACCTTGTAGTTTACCTTGTAAATCTGTGTATTTGAGAAATGTACTTATTTTTTGCAGATTTTCATTCTTTCCTTTTGACAATTCGAGAAGGGAACAAAAGAAAGTTTGAATCTTGCTAAATTTGGGAAAGTATGTGAAAACTATTTTCATCCTTCGAATTGCGTGCAAAGGATTATGATAGGAATTGAATCATTTTATGTTTTGGCGATTTCACTCGGCATGACAATTTGTACTTTCTCAATAAAGTATTATAAAGAAACGCGTGGAGATGTCTACCAACAAATACATTATCAAAATTTCAACTAATGACGTATAATCGTAAAGTTTTTCGCATCAAAGTTGCACTATACATCAGGAAGCGCAGAATCACAAACAATTTGGAAAGAATGAACCAAGATTACAACATTGATGATTTGCTGAAACATGAGAAGTTTCCTGCTTTGGAGTCTCTTTATGATAAACCTGGATGTGAGATTGAAATTATTGAAATCGTGACCACCTGCTTGCAACCTATTTCTTATATAATACTTTGTCCAAATCAAAACAAGAAATAAACGTTGATTATATAAAGAAGAACCATCGAATTCTTTAATTCTTTTAAAGATGCCCCGCAAGAGAAATTTAGTTTATGGAGGGTAATATCCAACAAGCAGGAAGCAATGTCGATACAAGCAATGGGTTATCATTTGACCATTTATCCGGTATGTTCCAGTCTTATTTCTTGCATACCAAGATTCGATATGGCTTACATTGTGTTTTATATAGTACGGAGAAGAAATACCTGCGTTGTTGGAAAAGTTTTACAATAAGAACGTCGCCAGTGACAATCTTGATGATGAATATTATATTCATCCTCTCATGAGCTCTTGTCATATGCTTTCATCTTTTTTTCATATTCATTCGTTCTATGATGGTAATGGACGTATTGGTCGTTCACTTATGGCACTATATCTTTCACATGCTGGTTATCCACCTCCTGTTTTTCAACAACTTAATCGAAAAGTATATGCAAACGCATTATATAAAGCTCCGGCACAAAGGATCTGATCACGCTATATAACCTGGTGATAGGGATAATCTATTAAATAGTAAAAAATTGATAGTCTTAACTTGTACTGTAAAATGCTTACGGACAACAAATAATCCATTTAAAAAATTTAGCGAGTGATTAACTTGTACACTTTTATGGGCGTCGTTTCTTTGGAAACTGATCATCATGAAATTCAAACGTGCATTGAGCTTTATTATGTGTGATATTACATGTATAAATTGGCAAATGTGCTCTAAACAGTGGATTTTCCTATATAATTATAAGTAAAAAAAGCATGCTACACTCATAGTTAAGTGATTGCTACTGCTATGCAATCCAAGACTGATTCCATTAAAACAACAACTTGATTATTTTAAGGTTAAAACTGCACAGATGAGAAAGGAACAGGCTGAACTCTTAATTAGAACAAACTTGAAGCAGAAAGAGAATAACAAAATGCAAATTCCGGGATAAATGTATTCTAATAGCCCCCAGATACATGTAGTTCTTAATGAGGAACCGATTATTGATTACATTCAAATAAGAATTGTGATTTTAGAAAATATGAAGACAGGCCTTAAGTATAAAAATAAAATCTTGTTTACACAGAAATTAGACGCAAAATTTCTTCCTTTTGAAGTTAAGGCTGTTATTGCAATGGTCAAAAAAGGTAAAGAAGGTTATTAAGAAACTAACCCATACTATTTCGCTTTCAGTGAATTCGTGTTTGAAACGGCACTTCCTAGATGTCTTTCAGGCAAAAAGGATATCATGGATATCGATTCGGAACATAATATATTTAAAGTTGGACGTACAACTAGATTGACCAAGAAGAGGAATTCAATTATGGATTCGATCAAAATTCAAAGCGAGAAAATTTTCCCCTCCTGTAATACGGTCGAAAAAAAGGCTTTTTATGAGTGATAGTGAGCAAGTTGCGTGTGGCTTAGGTCGTGGTTGTGTAGGTGGAGATTATGCATTAGGATCTCCAATAAATGTAGTTTTGAACGCGTCCCCTTCTCCTGAAACGCCTAGTCTTGAGCCTTATTTGAAGCAGGATTAGTAGCATGCAAAAAGGAGGCGACACTTTTTTAACCTGTGCATTTTTTTCAAATGAAAATTTTTTATTGGTGATATTAAAAATGCGAGATTGCTGCTAGAGGAAGCTTTCTGTCATCAGATTATATCAATGTGGATATCCAATTAGGCACCTGTCATATACCAAGAAATATCAACATCTGTTTGGTGAAATTTTCTAGCATCTGAGATATATATATGTGGATAATAAAAAAGCTAAGAAGAATGAAGATCCTTTCATATTAAAAAGGTTTTATCTGGTGATATCTCACGAATTTCAGAATTTAAGAGCATCTCATATGTGGCAGTGAAAATACTAAGATTTTTCGATTTGCATTTAAGAATTCGAATTCCGAAAAACCAAATGAAGATATGCGCCACGAGGTTTTAGGATGCTATTACTAAAGCCGGGTAGTTTCACGTGATATAGAATTAGATCCGGATCATATCATGTGAAAAGTAATTATTGGCTGAACATATTATTGGATAATAATAGCAATTAAAATTAGCAAACACAAAATATTAACAATAATTAAGGAATATGGAGACAATTATTATAGCAAATGTATAATAACATTATTTAAATTTAATATTTTTTATTATTAAAAACTGGAATTAATAATATGTAATAAATATTTTAGTAATCTGCATTCCTTATATTTCTGCTTCTTATTTCACTTGAATCTGAATTATTGTTTCCGTTGTTAGAACTACGTTTTAAATTATTGTTTCCATTGTTGTTTCCGTTATTAGAACCAATGTTATTGTTTCCATTATTATTACCGTTGTTAGAACCATGGTTGTTGTTACCATTGTTGTTTCCGTTATTAGAACCATGGTTATTGTTTCCATTATTATTACCGTT